AAAATGAACAAGTTATCAACGTTACATCTTCTGGTGTTATAGAGGTACCTAGCCCCGACCTCCGGCTGCCTAGTGTATCTAAAATGAACAAGTTATCAACGTTACATCTTCTGGTGTTATAGAGGTACCTAGCCCCGACCTCCGGCTGTCTAGTGTATCTAAAATGAACAAGTTATCAACGTTACATCTTCTGGTGCTATAGAGGTACCTAGCCCCGACCTCCGGCTGCCTAGTGTATCTAAAATGAACAAGTTATCAACGTTACACCTAGTATGCAAGAAATAACTCTGTCTTTGATCTGAGTATTTGTAGAGAGAGTGTGTTTGCACCTACTTTTTTCTGGTGTAGAAATGCTTTAGTTTGAAGATATTTGAGGATATCTCAAGTCTTAACTGACAACGTGACACACATGGGTCTCTGGAAGTACTTCTGGGAATACACAAATAAAGACTGGCTATACTAGACTTACTATGTTCCATTCAACGTTAAAACAGGAAAACAAAGACAACCGTGAATGAAACTAAACACACCAAATACACCAGTGAATGAAACTAAACACACCAAATACACCAGTGAATGAAACTAAACACACCAAAGACTCCAGTAAATGAAACTAAACACACCAAATATACCAGTGAAAAAAACTAAACACACCAAAGACTCCCGTGAATGAAACTAAACACACCAAATATACCAGTGAATGAAACTAAACAGACCAAATACACCAGTGAATGAAACTTAACACACCAAAGACTCCAGTGAATGAAACTAAACAGACCAAATATACCAGTGAATGAAACTAAACAGACCAAATACACCAGTGAATGAAACTAAACACACCAAAGACTCCAGTGAATGAAACTAAACACACCAAATACACCAGTGAATGAAACTAAACAGACCAAATACACCAGTGAATGAAACTAAACAGACCAAATACACCAGTGAATGAAACTAAACACACCAAAGACTCCCGTGAATGAAACTAAACACACCAAATACACCAGTGAATGAAACTAAACACACCAAATACACCAGTGAATGAAACTAAACAGACCAAATATACCAGTGAATGAAACTTAACACACCAAAGACTCCAGTGAATGAAACTAAACACACCAAATACACCAGTGAAAGAAATTAGACAAGTCAAAGATTTTCGTGAATGAAACTAAACACACCAAAGAATTCCGTGAATGAAACTAGATAAATCAAAGATTTTCGTGAAACTAAACATACCAAAGACTGTAGTGAATGAAACTAAATACAGCAAAGACTTCCGTGAATGAAACTAAACACACTAAAGTCTTCCTTGAATGAAACTACATGATAGCAAAGGCAAGGATTAACATATATATATTAGTATTGAATCACAATTGAGTTTAATTTATCCTATTTTTATTTGTTAACATTCTGATACACTGTGTGCCTCTGCTATTATGAAGAGAAGATGCAAATGGCATCCCTACTATTTTGTTTGCATTGTTTTTGAAAGATTTATATTAGCCATCCCGACATTTACTTCCATTTTTGAAAAGTTTTTTTTTTTTTTACTTGTGTATATTTGCTTCAAACTAAAGCACGTCTATAAACCATAACCCAGGAAATAAAGACGGACCAGTGAAAAATAAATAATTTTAGGGTGTGTTACTACTATTTAAGTTATTGTTATTTTTGAGTCTATTTTATTCTACATTTGGTTCAGTTATGCAATTACAGTTTTTAATTTCACAATGGTTGAGTTGTTGCCTGGAAATTATGGCTTAATTCTAACCATCGATACAGCCCACCGACGGTACAGCCCTCTTACCCATGCCAATAGAATTGAGCATTTCCTGCACCTTGTTTGGAATCGCCGTGCCACCTGGCGGCAGATGATGCCTTCCCATGAGATAAGTTAACCGTTAAGATGTCGTCCACATCCTGTTCAACCCATGGGCTGGATAACTGGGATTTATACTCTCGCAACAGAGGTTGAGAGATGGGTCTTCCTCCTGGTGGCAGGAATGAGAACGTACAGGTATTGCACGAAATGCTTTATTATTGTTATAATTCGATCGGCAAATCAAAACAAAATACATTTTACTGAAGTGACGTAAGTTGTTGAAACTTACAGAATAACAGGTATAGTGCAATAAAAATAATCTAAATTAAGAAAGTTCACAATAAATACAACCTCAAACTTCACATCATTAATATTATACATTTGGAATTTATGGTCTTATTTAATGACTGGTGTAATATATGTGTTACCAGGCTT